TGCTTCTACCAAGTAATGCAACAAATCCTAGCGGTATTAAAAGTCACTGTCAGTTAAATAGAGCTATTATTGGGATGGAAAAAACCACCCTCTTTTCAGCTTTGTCCTATTACTGAGAAGCTTTGAAAACTCTGGTAGTTTTCAACTGTCCTATGTGTGAAGAATGAATTTATTTCCTGTGGCGACTAAAACGAAAAATCAAAAGAAATGTTTGGTGAGAGTTGATGTGAAGTGGAAATATTTTTTTTCCTCTATTTCACTGTCTTTCTACCCTCTCCAGTGATCAACCTGAGATGAACCAGTTCCAGTTCATTTCCTTCTGAGGGAAAGAAAAAGGAGCATTTCAAATAGAAGTATAACATTTCGTTTTCAGGGTTATTTAATTTTTTAAAAATACTATTAGGGAATCTTTTTTTCCAGATTAAACTACCAGCAAAGTTCAGGTGGCTCTTTGGAGTTTTATTTTTCAGTGAATTAGCTACTCACCAAAAAACATTCTTGTCTGACTTTATCATCCCGTAGTCAATACCAGCCTTTCTGAGAGTTTTAGAGACCCTCAGCAATACAATGCAGTATATGGGATTATTGTTTTTTGTCAGGCAAAACCAGATTCTTAGACCCTCTGATGCCAGTAATACTCGTATGAACAGAAAAATTCCAAAGTCCTGGGATAAAGGACGAAAGCACGCTAGCTGCCTCAGAAGAAAGGGTATGGGGACTGTACATGTGCCATCCTGCTTTAGTAGTGACTGTTTTTATTAAGTATTGGAGATAGAAAAACCCACCCCTCTGCTCCTGACAGAGTGCAAGAATAAAAACCTGCTTTGAATCACTTCAGGCTGCTAAAGACTAATTACTCTTTTGGTATAGGGTGTAACTTTTTGATAAGTAATACATGATAGATGGTTGTCATGCATAGGTGAACCCATTTGCAGGAGAGATGTTGCCAGACTGCGACAGGTCAGGGACTGTGCATTTGAACACATCTGTCCTGCCACCCTCTCCTCACCTGAAGTGTCCCCATGCTGGGGAATATGAAATGAAATCAAATGCCAAGTAAAGTTCGTTGTAAAATAATGTAATGAAAAATAACTTTCATTCCTCCCATTCTAGACAAGATCAGCCGTGAGGAGCTGTCCATAAATTACTGGATTGTTTAAAGCAACACAGGTTCAACTTCGTGTTGCTATTGCAGAATGGCTCAGTGCAGGCCTTTTAGATGTATTCATTCCCTTAAATCATTTAAGGAAAATTAGCTGCCATAAGAGCATAAAACCACGTTTTAAATATTACTGTATTGGAGGATTTTTCTTCTGCTGCTGCAGTAAGGAAGATAAGCTGCTTCCTTTGAAAAAAGTTCATTCTGGAGGGGGGAGAGTGACTGACACCAGAAATAAGTGAAGTGGATATGAGGCACGCACACAATGCCATAGCTACCGTGATTCTAGCACCGAGTTGTCCAAGGCTAAGTGTTTACTCTATTTACTGTATAAAAATAAACCAAAGCACCTGTGGTTTTCTATTCTCCTGGGTTTTACAAAGTGTGCTTATTCTATTTTTAAAGAGTTTCAAATTCTGTAACGACCGTATCATCTTTAGGAGAGAGTGGATGGGTCAAGACATCAGAGAATGATAGGAAGCTTTTGATCTCCGTATCTCTGATTTTGAAACAATCACTGCCACTGATGAGTTACTGTCACGTTGACCTATGTGAAGTAAAGGGCTAGTCTCAGCTGTTTTTAATGGGGTCAGTCTTGCAGATGAGACTGAAGTGACAGACTTATTCTTCTAGATCATGGGCTGTCGGCTGAAGATATTTCTGTTCTGAAGTACCTCTCCCTACCCATATGCTAGACATCACCACTTTCCCACCTCTCCACCAGATGATATGTGTAGCTGAGTCCCCTGTCTGTGCTGGAGCCAGGTTAGTGGAATTAGCTCAGAACACAAATGTGTTTTTTCAGACCAAATCAGCTGACTTTTGTCTGAAGTACATCAAAGGGTGTTCCTGTGAACTGTTCCAATGGCTGAACTGTGGGGCCAGGAACTTCTGCTTGAGCACAACAACATGTTTCACATAGAGAGCTGTTTGAAGAATGAATCTCTATAGCCTGGATAAGGAATCTAATAAAGCATATATGTGCACATAAACAACATGATTGAATTCAGCATTGTTCCTTGTGTGTTGATGGTTAAGCAGGTGCTTAAATGTTTTGGACTGGGGATAAAGAGCTCAGCACTGGCAAGCTCAGGATGTGAATGGTCTACAGAGATCAAACAGTCCTTATCTCTGGGATAACATGAAGCCTCAGAGACAGAGAGAGCAGCATAACTGCTTGATTATTGGACAGGTTTCCTGTGGCCATCCAGCACTTTTCTGACAAGAAAATGCACTCTTTAAAACAGATTTAATGAGTGAACTTTGGTAGCGTGTTCAGTGTCAGCTCAGTCCCCTTGAGTATGTGCATTGTGGCACAGTCTTTAATCATAGGGGCTTGTGTTATTCTCTCAGCTAGACCCCTGCCTCACTGAGTTCTCCAAATGGAAAACTTTCACATAATAAGCAGCTATTCAGTGTTTTGTTTTAGCTTCAGTGGTCATTGTGCAGCCCTCTCCTGTATTTACTGTGTGCTATTCAGATCTTGCTCTGAGGATAGAATTGTTAATCTCCTCATTGGCTTTTTTTGTTTTGCTCATTGCTGTACCCTGGGAGCATTTCAGAAGTGTTAATTAATTATTTTGGGGGGAACCTCTGGGAGAGACAAATACATTATCCTTGTATGGATAGGAAGCAGAGACAGTTATGATCAGAAATACCTACTCATTTGAGATGGATGATTTAAGATGCCTGGGACCAGATTTGGTTCATGTCATTCACTAAGGCTTGATATGTTCACTGTGTGGTTTCTACCCCTTCCTTCTCCAAGGGTGATTGGGATAGACTATTTCTGTCATTTGGAGCTCTTAGGACCTAGAAGACAAGGGATAGGCAATGAGTGAATGTTCCCAAGCACTCTCATTGCAACACTGCTCTGTCTTCTTGCATCCATCTTCTGGTTTGCTTGTTTTCTACCTGTTGTCACTGAAGCTGGAGTCCTACATGCAAATGATTAGTATGTTAGACACTATTGTAAGAGAATGTAGGGAGGTAACTAGGAAGCTAAGGCCTCCTTGGAATTAAACCTTGCAAGGACAACAGAAAAGGCTTCTTCAAGTACATTGCTGACAAAACTAACACTAGAGGCAACGTAGGCCCCCCGGTAAATGTAGGCACTGGTGGGTGCCCTGGAGACAGAGGATACAAGGAAGCCCCTTCGTGTTGTCTGAGTCATCTGCTGGGCTGGAAACTTTAGATCCACCACACAGACATCTGCCACAAGAGCAGATTTACCTCTAGAAGGAGAATTACCTCTAGAGGGTGTCAATCTGCTGTTGCTGTGGACTGGCGTGAGAGAGGAAAAGAGGCATGGCTTTGTGGGTATCTGCTGACAACAGAATAACAAAAAAGGATAAGTATATACAATAGTGAAGGCAAAGGGATTGGGAGAGGAATAGGGATATTTAAGGCTGAATGACACCTTTTATGTTTTTGATAGGGCTTTTTCAGATCCCATGTGTGGGCTTAGACTTGAAC